AAAGTCAGAATCGAACCGGCTGCCCGTATAGGTGATTTTGGAAATTTTTTTAACGGTTTAGCTAAAGCCCACGCGTGCTTCGATAGTCCTGAATATTGAATGATAGCAATTTGTATTGCAAAACTGTCAAATACTGCATTCTGTTGTCCGAGGTCTGTATGATAAAAACAGTGCCTCATAGTACTGTTTCACCTCAGATGTGATGTATAAGTGATATATAAGGTTGGTTTACACGAACCCAGATTTGTTGGCAATATTTTGTAAAGTAAACTTGTCGAACGCAAAAAATTCGGCCGGAACGATTGCCAGTTTTTGGGTGTACATATGAGGCCATCAACTCGATGTAAGATTTTGTTCACTCTGGGGTTGTTTGCAAATTATTTTTTTCTAAAATCACTTAGCCTTTCCCTGAAAAGTCACATGAATGTGCTCTAAAGTTAACTGAATTGTGGAATACAAGTTTATTGTTTGATTTAAATTAATGAAATACTGCATTTTGTCTGAGGTCTGTATGATAAAAACAGCGCCTCATATTACTGTTTCACCTTAGATGTGATGCATAAAAAGTATGAAATGTTGGTTTACACGCTCCCAGCGTTGTTGGCAAGATTTTTTTAAGTAGACTTGTCGAACGCAAAAAATTCGGCCTGATTTGTTTTTTCCATGAATTCGTTTTCCAGGCCTAATCTACTGTGATCAAGAGCTATTATGGCTCTTAAATGTGATCGACGATGATTGCTATTTTTTGGGTGTATATATACCGGCTATCAATTCGATGAAAGATTTTTTTTTCACTCTAAAATCACTTAGCCTTAGCTTTCTCTAAAAAGTCACATATGTGCCCTTAAGTTAACTGATTTGTGGATTACAAGTTTATTGTTTGATATAAAATCATAAATTTATTAATGGGAGCTTCGCTTTTAGCCCTGGCTAAATCTATATATTATAGTTATACGCTTCAACACAATAAAGAATTTATTATAAAGATCTGTAATCTTCAAAAGCGTTTGATACGCGCGCATTTTGACTACTCCTGCAAGCGATGTTCATGAGCGACTGAAAACAAACGGCACAGCGATTAAAATTGCAAAAGAGACTACTAACAATCAATAAAGAGAGGGAAAATAATTCGGTGAAACATATACAGAGACAACAATTTTCATTCACGAAGACAAGTATTAAAGTGTCTCTGAAAATCCTTGTTTACGTTTTTAGCCGGCTTCCCGGTGTTTGCTTTTTCCAAAGATGAACTCGAGGCAAGAAAATCGCCCAAAGCTTTCTTTTACAGCCAGAATTATAACCAAATATTCTTTGGAATGTTTTCTTTCTATTCGCGGTGAGAAAATGTCTAAAGGCTTTTTAAAGTTCCATAAGCTTATAATCAAACCTGATACTCGGTCACTCTCTGTCAGATCATTGTCTCAAATCTTACAAACGTGCATAAACCAAATAGCCGCGTAAACTACGCTCGACTTCATTAAATTAGATATAAAAAAACAAACAAATACAATAATTCCTCAGGCTTACCTTTTGAGATGCACTGAAAACTATCAAGTAAGACCAGAATCGCTTCAGACTTTTCAACCGTCTTACGCATCAAGCAAGGTGAAAAAACAAAAAAGGATGCCATCCGAATCGGATTTCCGACTTTGCCAAAGCGACGTATTTCTCAACCAAAAGCCCAATAAACAAACTAGCCATGAATAAAAGAAGACTCTTGATAGCAGCTGAATTTCACTTTGTACATTTAGTGGAAAAAGACAGTTAAAAAGATCATAAGTTGACACCAAACTCTATCAGCTTCAGCTGTCGAGGTAAACAAGTTTCAAGATGCTGCATAAATTTTCCGCGTGAACTCACCTGTCAAATTTTGACGAATCAGAGTATAAAAATTGGACGTAGAGCGTGACCAACGCGTGACCTTGGTGAGAAAAGTCAAAAGCAACTAGCATGTCCTCCCTGCCTATAAAAACTGGCTTAATTTCTAGCTTCCGAGGTCAGTTTGAAATCAAAATTTTAATTGTGCGGCACATATAAAACACAATATAATTCATATGAATTGAAAAATTAAACTTGAGCCTGCAATCATTTGAAAACTAGTAACTTGTCAGCGGATAACTTCAAAAAGATACTCGACCGCGATGGGTCGACACCTGAGCCCGCGATACGATCAGGTGATACTGGTCAGCGGATACCCTGTTTTGACAGCTGTCAATTGATCACAAGATTGATGAGCAATATGTCTGCAATATCAGTCTTCCTGTGCTCCCAAACTAGAAAGAGTGATTGAACATTGGTTGCCCTGTGGTGCAGACGGACGGGCGGGCTGAGGGCGGTGTACGGTCATGTGATTACCAAATTTTCTGGGATGGGTAGATTTACTTACCCATGGAGCTCCGCTATAAACTTATTAATGGGAGCCTCGCTTTTAGCCCTGGCTGAATCTATACATTAAAGTTTCATCATCATCATCACCAAGAGAGTAACACATTACATAATTACTGCTATAGGGCAGCACTGTTTACAGGAACATTGGTAACTATTAACATTTGATATACTACAATGTTCAATATTGCTTGAGAAAAGATGAGGTTCAAAGGTGGCAATATGTACACCTTTAAGGACGGTGCCCACTAATGGGAAGTATTTTTTCCCAGACAATGACTATGTGAGACAAGTAGATTATATCAGGGGCTACTGAAATCCAAAAAGAAAACTGGGGTAACCACGCATTTTTCAGAGATAACTGCGCCCCAATATGGAGAAAGACGCTGAATAGGCGTTTTTTAAAAAAATGATAAAAAGTTATTTTTTCCCAAAATTTCAGAGTGTACACGTGAACTGGCACAAATGCAACGATAATTGTAACAAGTTTTTTTTTAAAAATAGGCAACAAATGATACCATGACAACTGCTCTTTATACGTCTTTTTTTGAAATATCAGCACAACTGGGAAGTTATCAGCAGTTACCCCTCTCCACGCGTTTGCCTCAAAAATAGTGTAAACGACATTTTCCCCGAACCAAAAATTAATCGTTTGCTGAGTAGGCTTA